TTTTTTTTTTTTCTTTAAGTGGAAAATTAGGACAACTTTTGGTATTCATATGATTATTTGTGAAGTTCTTCAAAAAAACTCTTTGTGAGCAGTATTGGTAGTCCTGGGTACTCTGGTAATGCTCTGTTTTCATATGACAAGGAACTTTACCATGCGTGTGACATTCAGGAGTGAGAACAGACCAATCTGAGCTTTACTGTTTGCATTTGAAGTGTTCACTGCTATAGTACTTGCTATACATTCTTTTGAAAAAAGAAATAAACTAAGTGCACTGTAAAACATAAAACTAAGGTAATATTTGGATGGTTAATGTCTGTGAGTGTTCTTACGGTATTTAAACTGTTGATATAACAATGATTTCGATATCCAGTCTACAATAACATCTGTTGGTTTTGTTTAAAGAATTCCATGACTGCACTTATTGTAGCAGTGAAGGGTGGCTATACTGACTCAGTAAAAGAAATCCTGAAAAGGAACCCAAATGTCAACTTAACAGATAAAGATGGAAATACAGCTTTGATGATTGCATCAAAGGAAGGACATACTGAAATTGTGCAGGATCTTCTTGATGCTGGAACTTACGTGAACATTCCTGACAGAGTGAGTAAATTTTCGTTATAACTGTGGGTTTATCTGTATGTAATAATGTAAATGAGATGTTTAAAATCAGTGTATGTAGATTTGTGGGTACGTAGTTTTTCTGGCTTTCTAATTTTGCTGCCACCTAGAGGTATTTTTATGTATTGCCATTTTACAAGTTAAGTGGCAAATGCTGCTGTCTGAAAGTAAAGGCTAAACTACCGAAATTACTCTTTTTCTTGTAGATCCTTGAATTGTGAGTTTCCACAGGGCTTGGAAATGATTTGTGGTTGTGTAGTTGTTGTATCTGGAATGTATGGCTAATGCCAAACTGGGTGACAGTTTGGGGTGGGGTTTTTGCTTATGAGTGGACGTGGTAGCGCTGTGAAAATTGTAAACCAGCGGATATTCTAAAAAAGAGTATATTTCATTCAGCATCTACCTTTACCTTTTACAGTGAAACTTTTACTAGACAACTTGCATAAGTTAGAGGAAGACATGTAACCGTGGAAAGTTGGGCTGTGTTCCTGAGCTGTGATTGCGTTGTTGGGTAGGGACGTGCTCATACATGCAGTACGAGCAGTGACCAGAGCATGGATCTGCTCGTAACCCCTCAGGGATTCATCTGTTTGCTTGTACCCGTGCCTTGAACTGTCCGCAGCGTGCTCTCAGTAGTCCGGTCTTTCGAAGTGTCGGAGGCAGGCCAGGCACTGCTCCCTGGGGCTGTAAGTGGTTAGATACCGAGACGTGGGTGCCTCTGTCAAGGTCCGTGTTCTAGTTCAAAGCAGTAATACAGTTTTGAGGCTTAACTCCCAGCCCCCAAATTGAATTGCTTGGAGTTGCAGAGAAGAGAGGAAAGCCACATAATATTCGCCTCATAATTTTGAGAGTATTTTTGGATGCCTTTGCCTATATTTGAGGTGTCTGCTTCATGGTTACATACTGAGCTGCAGTGTTGCATGTGACAACAAATTTGATCTTGGGCTCATATCAAAGCAAAACTTTGCAGTGTATTCTCTTAATTATTTAATTTCCATTCCCATCTCTTCTGTCACAAAATTCTACAACTGTCTGTGTTTCTGTGCTTTTGGGAAGGATAAATTACTGCTTTCAGTACAGCTGACTCTATTCCAGAAATGCATCCAACAATGTGTAGTCTTAGTTTCAGATGCTAGAGTAGTTTTTGATAAGGAACGTTTCTTGGTTTGCAGCCAGGTACATAATGACTGTGATTGGGGGGGGTCTACTGTTACTGACCTTTCTAACTGAATTCTGCACCTATGACTCAACTATACCTTTGATTTTTCCTGTTCCATCATAGAAGTATTCGATAATTTCAGGATTCTATTTTCTGAAATTCTGACATATCCCTAGGTGCATTAAAATCAGGAACCTTTCGCAGAATTGTAACTTTGTTTTATCTACATTCAGCTCCGTTTACCACAGCAAAATATATTTTTCTTTTGATCAGTTGGAGATCAAATCAGCCTTTTGCTTCTTTTCTTTAAAACAGCAAAGTGTATGTAAACAGGATAGTCAAATTTGCACAAAAAAGGGATAAAATTCTTTAAAATTCTTGAAGATCTTTTGTCAGCTGTGAAACATCTAAAGGAGACAGCCAACATTCATATCTGATTGTAAAGAGGTTATTACTGTGAGTAATTACTTATCTGATTGTAACGAAGTTATTACTGACTGGTTGGTCTTCCTGTGAACCTAGAGAACAGCTGGATTTTTTCATATTCATTATTTATTTGTGCTATTTTTTAGGATGGTAGTTTAAGCTGGACCTGTTTTTGGGGTGTTTGTTTTGCCGTAAAGATGTATATCATGTCTTTGAAAAAAAAAAAACCCTCTAAAAAACATTGTCCAGATTTTTTCTCCTACATGCCCACTTTTTGCAGAGATAAAACTATTAACTATTTTTTTTGTGTATTTGAAATCAGTGCAGATTCCTTAGTGCAAACAGGCATAAGGTGGATTTTGAGGCTATAACTTATTCTGTGTTGCATTCCTTTTTGCTAAGTAGTATTAATTGCTCTTCAATGTTCTTCCATGATTTTTCTAGAGTGGCGATACAGTGCTGATTGGGGCTGTTAGAGGAGGTCACGTTGAAATTGTGAGGGCCCTGCTCCATAAATATGCTGATATAGATATCAGAGGTCAGGTAAGTACGACAGAATTTGAATACCAAGAAATTATACCGTGTTCCTAAAAACAGGGCTTGAAAAACTTGCTCACTGTACTCTGTAGGAAACTCAGATTCCCATCAAACATAAAAAAATACATCATGTTGCTCTGCTGTTTTTAAGACTTGTTTGCAGCGACTTGTTAAACAGCATTTTTTTCAGTTAATCTGTTTAATGGTTGAAAAGCAAAAGATGTAAATTAAGCTTATTTCATCTGTACTACTGAACATCTTTAAAATAATGAAATGCTTTAGGAAACCCTTAACATGATTATTGTAATACTTAATATTTTAAATTCATTATCAAGATATTAAAATACAACACACCCTGGATGATATCTGTTGTCAGTGCAGTTCTGTCACTACTTGGCTGGTTCTTGTCTCCTTCACTAACTTCCCCTCTCACATTAAATAGTGTTGTCAGCAATTTCCATGTTTTCTACCTACCCCTTCTTTCCTTTTTTTTGGTCCTTTGATTAAGGTATTGTTTTTATTCTTCTACCGAAAGCTCTCTTAGTCAGCAAGGTGCTTGTTTTTATTGTTACATTCAACTTGCTTTCACTTGCTTGAAGCTGTTCGAATCACCCTTCACAGGCACATATGTTCTGCCAAGTCTGAGCACAAAACTAGTCACCGAGAGCTGCAGAGATTTTCGGTGCCTGCTATTGATGCAGAGCCTCTTTGAGGAGCCCAGAAGTTTTTAGTTTGCAGAAGTAGTGTTTGCCTCTGTTCTTCTAACCTGCCGTTGGAAACGTGGAATTGTGTGTCTCAGCGTGTTGCTGACGTGGGTCTGAAAATCTGGAGCTTTCCAACGCCTAGATATGACCAAGGCAATACAGAAACAGCAGGGTGGCCCAACTTCCTCAGGGCTGGGAGGCTTGTGATTTCTGACACGTGAGGGTGTATGTAGGGCCACTTGCAGTGGATAATCTAGGGAATACATTTGTGGTTTTGCCACGGAGAAAGATTCTAGCTGTGTGCTTCAGATCAGAACCAGCAGTATCAAAATCTGTGGTTCACACTAGTGACTAGCACCTCCCTTGCTGTTTGGCACTGCAGCACCTGTCTGCCAGCCAGACCTGTTCTGGGGAGACTTGCTGCCTGCCCAAATCCATGATGTTCTGGAAAGACTGAGTCTTGTCCAGCTTTCCAGCAACTGTGTTCCTTGCTGCTCATCCGTTCATATGGACACCAGTCAGGGGATACTTTGACCAGATAAAATGTTAGTGCTGGGGCAGTGGAGGGCTCAGGTGGTGTTCTCAGCCCTTCAGCTGAGGGGGAAAGGCCCAGCTCTGTGCATCAGGCAGGCCAGTGCCTGGCTCTGCAGTTGATATTGCTGGTGAGGAGTCTGCATCCTCAGGCTGGTGTCTTGTTGGAAGCCACCTGACTGAAGGACAGAGGATGTGAAACCCAGGTGACCAGAGAGGAAGAAATTCTTGGTGACCAGGCTTGCTAAAGTGGCAAGAAAGGCTTTAAACTCAGTTTGCTGTGGAAACCACAAGTGGGGGAGAGCAAGGGATAAAGCTGAGAGGGGGACTTTGACATTGCTGCTTGGAAGCAGATGTGTGTTCAGAGGCTTTTCTTCATGTTTCCACACAAGTGTGCATCAAACAAAGAGTTGTGGTGCAGTTGCTAGACTGCAAAAACATTGTAGTTGTGTAGACTTCCTGGGAGAGCATACATCACTGGGAAAAAAAAGATGACGCAAGCAGATTTGCTACTTTGAATGGTTTCCCTGGTTTAGTGACACAGTGTGTGGCTGATCTGTGTTCTGGTTCTTTGTGCTGACTTTCATGTCCATGTACTTTTACAGCTTTCCAGCTTGTTTTAGGGCAGCCAGCCACCTCCCAGTACAACACTCTTAGTAGGCTATACTGTGAAGTTGAGAAGAAAATGGAACTTTTTTTTAAAGGCCTGGAAGTGGTTAATCTGTTCATGTTCTAATAGGAGATAATTATATTTGTAAGCAGCAGAGAAGCATGACTATTACATAATAGGAGTAAAAAAGACAACAGTTGTTTTTTTTCATTAGAAAACATATATATTTGAGTTACAGCTCAGTACCCCTATATAGTTTTGCAAACTGTTTTCAAGACAATTTGAATCTACTTGGAGTGTTACAGCTATTAGTATATTTTGCATAGGGTTTTAAAACAGATTTGTATTCTACAGCCAGATTTTCCCTCCTCCCAGGTTCTATTGGTGTACAAATTAAATTTGGTAGCATTTCCATTTGCCCTGAATGGTGCTAAAATTTGCTGTATTGTGCTGTTTTCAATATAGTGGTTATATTTTATGTACAGTCTTGACGTTAATCCAGCTGAATGAAAGTGCTGTTAACATTTAATACTCTTTTTTTTCAGGATAATAAAACTGCTTTATATTGGGCAGTTGAGAAAGGAAACGCTACGATGGTGAGGGATATCTTGCAGTGCAACCCTGATACTGAAACATGTACGAAGGTAACTATTGGAATTTTAGTTGAGGACATAATTTGCTTTATTTAACATCTGTACGTGGCATTAAGATCAGAACACCAAATTCAGCTTTTTATTGACATGACCAGCAGTAAGGAGTAGAGAGCAAGTGCTACTGCAGAGTAGGGGAAGAGGCTTCTGATATTGCCAAGCTGAAAAGTTCAGACCTTCATTTGTTCCATGTGCAGGAAATAAAAAATAATAGAAGTAATCTGTATTGCAGTGAATTGCTTCTTCTCAAACACCTTGTATTATATCTGAATCTTCTCTTCCTCTGTTTAACACTGTCATTAACAGAAATGTATTTTGCACCTGTATTTTATTCTGCGATCCTAATCAGCCTATAATAAAAAGGGTCAAGAGCGTATGCACTCAAGTGTAGTTACTTGCACAGAAATGAAAATTCTCTTGAAATTTTGGGATTTAATTTGTTAGACTATCACTATTTTTTTCTTGGTTTTGAGTATATTGGGAAGATTTTTTTTTTTTACTATGCCTACTTTTCCATTGTAGGATGGAGAAACACCACTTATAAAGGCAACCAAGATGAGAAATATTGAAATAGTAGAGCTGCTTTTGGACAAAGGAGCTAAGGTCTCTGCTGTAGACAAGGTAAAGGATATTTCCTTGTTGTCTTTAGTATATTCAATCATTTTAGCCTGCAGCAGAGTTTTGTAGTGAGCTGTCAAGGCTAAAACAGGAAAAGAACTTCTCAGATGCTGAACAATTAAATAGATCAGAATACTTAAATGTAAGTTTATGCCCACCTTTAATATTTAGGGGTTTTTTTGTATTCAAGTGCTTTCAGTAATATGAGGTCAGGAATAAGAATTTCCCAGATACGCTTGAAAATGGTTGTTACTTGTCACTGATGTTTGCTTTTGATTAATAGCCATTAAAGTAAGTGATGCCACGGACAGCACTTGGGACAAGTTCTCTTATGCATTACCTACTTCAGTGATAAACCCTTTAAATACAGGAAAACTTTTTTGATACTTTTTTAACCTTTACTATCGTATTTAGGGCAAATAAGTAATAATGTTGAATTGATATAATAAGGAAACTTTTACCAGAAGGCTTTTTGGAGAAGTCTGAGCAGATATAGAAATAATTCTTACTGGAACAAGAGATACTCCCTAACAAGTCCCTGAATTTGCTAGTAGACACTTGTTTCTAAATAGAGACTACAGTTTTCATGAACCTTAAAATAAACATTTAAGAAATGGCCATAAACTGGAAAACAGAAGGTTCGACCTGAACATGAGGAAACATTTCTTCACTGTGAGGTGACAGAGCACTGAACAGGCTGCCCAGAGAGGTGGTGGAGTCTCCTTCTCTGGAAACTTTCCAAAGCCACCTGGACTTGTTTCTGTGTGATCTACTCCAGGTGATCCTGATCTGGCAGGGGGGGTGGACTAGCTGATCTCTAGAGGTCCCTTCCAACTCCTTCCACTCTGTGAATATGTAAAATACTGTAGTGCCTTAGAGAGAGCATCGTAAGAACTGCCTTTTCATATGTCTTTTCTGAAACTTTTGTAATGCTTTTTTAGAAGGAAAAAACACTTGCTGTAGTATGTTAGTGCTGTTGAGAATACCTTAAGATGTATTTCAAGTAAATAGTGCATCTGAAACTATGTGGAACATATGGTCTCTTCATAATCTTTGTAATTCATATTAGATGTTACTAGTTTTTCACTTAACTGCAGAAAGGAGATACTCCTCTTCATATTGCCATTCGTGGAAGAAGCCGAAAACTTGCTGAGTTGCTCTTAAGAAATCCAAAAGATGGTCGATTGCTTTATAGACCTAACAAAACAGGAGAAACACCTTACAATATTGACTGTAGCCACCAGAAGAGTATTTTAACACAGATATTTGGAGCCAGTAAGTAGAAGTAGTTGTATTTTCTTCAGATCAAAACTTAGATTGTTCCATGAATCATTCACCTCAAAAAACCTCCTCAGTTTTCATCAAATTCCTGTATTGTTTTTTAATCACTTGTTTATTGAGAATCCAGTTTATTCAAATTCTGCATTGAAAAGTGGTAACTTCAGGTTTTTTTAATGTTGCGACTAATGGGAAAACTAAAAACCCCAAGTAAATTGCCAAAAAAAAAAAAATTCTCATTCTAAACTACTAGCGAAAGTCAAACATATGTTTGACTTTCTTCACCCTTTCCCTTTGACACTGGGTACTGTACAACTTTTGACCGTTTGTTTTTACTTCAGTCTTGCTTATGTCAGAACTATTTTCTTTGACTTGCTGTGATTTTTGGATTTTGAGTCTTTTGTTGTAAGCTCTGATAGTTTGGTAATTACCTAACATTTACATGGGTGTCTTACTTTTGAAGAAGAATGTACCAATAGTAACTATTATATGGAAGTAATATGTATACAAATGTAGATGAACCTGTCATGGTTTTATGTATGAAAACTGCCATATTGAAAAGGTTTCTTAAAGCAGAGTTCTGTAACACAGTGTTTGTATTACAGGACACTTGTCTCCCACGGAATCTGACGGGGACATGCTGGGTTACGACCTGTACAGCAGTGCTTTGGCTGATATTCTGAGTGAACCGACCATGCAGCCACCTATCTGTGTAGGCTTATATGCACAGTGGGGAAGTGGAAAATCTTTCCTGCTTAAGAAACTGGAAGGTAAGGTTTGATTTAGCCTTTTCTGGAGGTTGAAATCCATTTATGAAAAGCATCACATGGGGATTACTAGTTCTTGCAACATCCATTGGTCCATGTTGTGTGCCCAGTCTCTGTTTCTTTCATTAAAGGATTTAAACTTTCGCGTGGTCAGTTCATCCATAGGTTGCTGTGTTCATTTATACACTGTCAAAACAATCTTGAAGTCTTGCTGTCTATTGTCCTGTGGGTTTCTGGCAGCAGTGAAGCTACCCATTAGGGCCTGCTGAAGACACGACTGCTGAAACGGGCCTTGCCGGAGGTGTCGGTGTGTCAGATCAGGTTCAGCCCTCTTTTGTTGCAGTAAGATTGGGCCTCCTACAGGCCATATTTTTTTATTTTTTGAAGCTTAAGTACAAACTTGAGGCTTTTAATACTTTTTTTTTCTCTGTGCCTTTTCTCTGCACCTAGTTTTCTCCCCCCTTTCCCTTATTTTGAGCTTTTTGAAATTTCTGAAATGATATAGGAAAGCAAATGCAGTGTATGAGAAGAGTCAATATTTTTCACTGTGGCAATAGACATCTTACTACAGCTTTAGCTTTTTCTAACAAAGGGTGTTTTTCTGAAATGTTTCAGTATCAATCAAAATACGTTTACCAGTTTTGACGTTTCTTACTTTCAGTGATTTCTGGTTTTAAAAGCCGTGTTAGTCAAAAGGGGGTCTCTGCATTTGTTTTGATCACCTCATGCCCCGCAATCAGAAAGTGGTGTGCATTTTGACAGTGGTCTTTACTGCTGATGAGCTTTTCATGTTTTTAAAATACTTTCAGTATTTCCTTCCTGTTCTTCGTTCATCTTTTTATTTTGTATTGTGTATTAATGTTTCTTATTCAATGCATCCTTAACAAGTTTCTTCGGGACATCCTGTTTTTAAAAAATATGAAGCAGCAAACAAAAAATGAAGCCTTTATGTTGTGCTCTTTTATCTGACTATTTGAGGAACATGGTCCATATTTCAGTGATGGAGATTTTGGGCGTTGGGATTTTTTGACAGATGTGATGGATTTATTTTTCCTGGTGTTGTAAAACGTTTTAAACTTTTGAAGGAGGATAGGAAATGGTATGGCTTTTTTAATATGCCTTTAAAGGTAGAAAATCGGCAGCAAACAGTGCAAGTATTATGCATTTAAATGCTTTCATTCGTTGCGTGGATGAAAGCAGGGTTTAGTACTAATGGTTGAAGAATTCAAACATCATTGTCTTTTTTTGGATCCGTAATAGGGGAAAATTTTAGAGTCTAGTGAAAAAGTGTTTCTCTTCAAAGATGAAGAGAACACCATTTTTGTTTTTTGTTCTAGAATGATTCAGCCTGTTAACTAGTCTTTGTATTTGTGTTTTAGACGAAATGAAGACTTTTGCAGGACAGCAGATCGAACCTCTGTTTCAGTTCTCCTGGCTTATTGTATTCCTCACGCTTGTGCTGTGTGGAGGTTTGGGCTTGTTGCTTGCTTTCACAGTGGATGCAAAGCTTGGAATAGCGGTGTCACTCAGTTTACTAGCAGTTCTCTACATTTTCTTTAGTAAGTTGTCTTTTATATGAAGTTTGTGAAGGTGTTTATCTATTTTTGGAGTTCAGTGTTGTTTTGTAGAAGTGCTTTATGATTCAGAAAAAATACCAAATGTTTCTGTGGGGGGGGGGAAAAAGACCCTTTTGGACCCTTTCCTTGTGTTTTGCATGTAGTTTGTGCAAGGGCCTTCTTGAAAACAAAGAAGAATTTTGTACATTAACTTCATTATGTTACTCTTACCATTCTAATTTTTAGCCATAACTGCTACAAATTCTTCCAACACATTTTAGGCAACTCCATGCCTTATCTGTTCAGACTTCCTGGTTCTTTTGGTGGTGAACATTGACTAAAATACAGCCGTTACATCTATTTTAATTTTTATTTTTTTTAGCTGTAATTTACTTTGGTGGCCGAAGAGAAGGTGAGAGCTGGAGCTGGGCCTGGGTACTAAGTGCAAGGTTGGCAAGACATATTGGATATTTAGAGTTACTTCTCAAACTCATGTTTGTGAACCCACCAGAATTACCAGAGCAAACCACAAAAGCTTTACCTGTCAGGTTAGTTCCTTCATTTATTTGCTCTTGAATGAGTAATTCAGGCTCACTGATGCTTTTCAAACTGTGTGTGTTAATGTGCAGTGAAAAGCGGTTGAGATTCTGGTTTGAAAAACAGTAGCCCTAGACAATCACGTAGTTACATTTTTCAGTGTGAAGAAATCTCCCTGCAAAGTCGGTGTAAGTTACTGCTTTTTAGTACTGGGGGGTTGACTCTTAGTAATAAAAATTTATAACAGGTAAGACAAGAATTTAGTTTTCTGGTATAGCTTACTGTGTATTATGTTTAGTGCTTATTTCACTGGTTACTTCTGTTATGATCTTTTTTTTTGGTTGTCTGTCTTTTCCTCAGCCCCCTGTAAGTAGAGCATCAGATTGCTCAAACTTTACCTGAAAGCAAGAAAATTTATGCCGTATGTGTTGATAGCTTTGTTTTACTCCTGTTGATTATACACTTGTGTTTTAACCTCATGGTGCTTTTATGTCATCTTGTTATTCTGTGTTGTTTTTTTTAATCCTCCATAAATACTTCAAAATAGCTCAGAATGCAATTTTAAAAATACTTGTGAATATTGTGTTTGCCATCATAAAGATGCTGTTATGTTTTTATTGCCATCTGAGGTGCTGTGTTTTATCTTTTCAAGGAATCAAGTTTTGGAATAGGAAGTGGGGCAAAGAGGTTGATAAGAGAAGAAGAAATATAGACATAAATACTTAAATTCCATGTAGAGATTAAAAAAAAAATAGGCATTTAAGTATTTTATATTATGTGCCACTTGAAAAAATTTTCAGATGCAGGAAGATTTTTGGTTTGGTATTTAAAGGTTTCTAAAGTATGCAAAATACGTGTGTTCTCTCTTTCAGATTTCTGTTTACGGACTACAATAGACTGTCCAGTGTAGGTGGAGAAACTTCATTGGCTGAGATGATTGCTACCCTCTCTGATGCATGTGAAAGGGAATTTGGTTTCTTAGCAACAAGGCTATTTCGAGTTTTCAAGACAGAAGATACACAAGGTTTTTATTACCTGAATGACATTTCCAATTATTCCATTTCAGTGCACTGTTATCAGGGGTCCTGTTTTGCACATTACAAGCACTTTTTAGAAACTGTTGTAGCCATGCAGAAATTCATACACAAGGGGACTCTGTATTGTTTTGGAGAGAAAAATGCCTGTTTTCTTCGCTTATCTTGATTTTATTAATATCATAAAGGAGTATTTTCTGTGAAGTAGTTTTCAGAAGTAGCAATGGCAGTGTATATATTACATCCTTTTAGATGCAGCATGGTATTTTTCCATAGAATTTAAGTCGTTGTGTCTGAATCAGAAAAAGGGAAAAGTATACTTTTGTGTATTGCTAAAAGAATTTTCTGTCTAGTTAAATAGAATTTTTATTCGGAGCTTTTATGAGTGACCACTACTTATTCTTGGAAATAATAAATGGATACAACATGCTGGTCCAAAGCCGTAAAATGCTGTGTTCAGTGCTGGATGAAATATTCCTACTTGATCCACTTGGAGCAAATCTTTCTATTCTGTTCCACCTGCAGATTTCTGGGGGTGGGTGGGTGGGTGGGGGAAAGTATGATATTGCTGAGAAAGGCAGTTCTTGAGGGCAACGTTCAATCCATAGAGGACATATTTCTATTTTGAGTTCAGTTTCAGTCAGTTACTTTTCATTTCATTTTGACCTTGACCACAAATTAAGGAATCTGTTAGATACTGTCTCCTCTCACAAAGTGAAATATTTGGACTCTCCTATCTTGCAGAGGGTGGGAAAAAGCATACAAAGTGCTGTACACAACTTATTCTTCATTGTTCTTTCTCAAAATCACGGAATGTTCTTTATGAAAGTGATAGCTGGAATTTTTCATCCTTATTTCATACAAACACAGAATGGTTTGGGTTGGAAGGGACCTTAAAGACCATCTAGTTCCAACCCCCCTGCCATGGGCAGGGACACCTTGCACTAGACCAGGTTGCTCAAAGCCTCATCCAGCCTGGCCTTGAACACTCCCAGGGATGGGGCATCCACAACTTATCGTATGAACCACTGATATGAAATCTGTTTAATAAAGATCATTTCCATCCATTGTGGATTTCTTGAAACTACAGAAATTAACAGGAGATTAAAGGAATATTTCTGCTTCACAATTTCCAAGAATTTTGGCAAATTCAGATGACTTTTTCTTTACGCTTGTGACTGGACGGTAGCACTGCAGTAACCTTTTATGCTAGTTTGTGTTTTGTGAGAAGTATGGAAGCTAATAGATTTTTGTAGTCACCTGTAATTACCTTTCATATTTGTTTTAATAGCAAATACTTGTTTTCTAGGTAAAAAGAAATGGAAGAAAACTTGCTGTCTCCCATCATTTGTGATTTTCCTGTTCATATTGTCTTGCGTTGTTTCTGCGATTGCTCTGCTGGCAATTTTTAATGTAGAACCAGCCAACATGACAGTGAATGTTATTCTTATATCAGTTACCTGTGTTGTCGGTTTGGCCTTTATCTTGAATTGTCGCACATGGTGGCAAGTGATGGATTCAGTTTTGAATTCTCAACGAAAACGTCTTCACAATGCTGCCTCCAAGCTTCACAAGTTGAAAAGCGAGGGGTTCATGAAGGTAAGCATTTTTATGAATACTATTGTTTTGCTGGGTTGTATTTGATTTGAAAATAGTACCCATCAGGAAAGGTACCCATCAGGCTGTCATCAAATATCCTACATGCTCCTGTTTGAAAATAAACTTAAGCATTGTGATGGTTACCTCCTCTTGTGGTTAAATTCCGGCTAGCAAAACACCACGA